AAGAGTCAGTTGCTTAACAGACTGAGCTACCCAGGTGCCCCAAGTTTAACACTTTAAAGTCATTCTGCCATTATGTATAACAGAATTTGTGTAGGATCCTTTTTCCATTCAGATACTTACCGAGCATGATATGAACACAAAAGCACACAAAGTACGCATTCCACACACTACCATTTCCTAGGCAGGGACGAGCTGGGATAGCTTGGGGAGTAAGATTGCAACACCTCTCTCTGTGTCCTTGCAAGGAAATTCCAACAGCTCTCATTTAGAAGTTTCCCTTTGGTGGCAAGTGGCTCACCACGCAGCACAGAGGAGTGAGATAAGTGTTATCATGGCCATTGGACTTGACTGTAGTTCAACCCCAAGGTCACTGGGAGGCCAGAGCAGAACAAGGGAAGGAATGTTGGCCTCTGAGCCCGCTGAACCTCAGGGCACAGTCACTCCCCCTGTTGGCTTTCCCATGGAGCACTGTGTCAGCCTGTACCAGCCCTTCACGGGGCTGCCATGCTTCTCCCCACAGGAAGGGAACCAACCCCACACCCGCATTCTGGAAAGCTCAGGCACCACCCTGCATGGCCCTCACTCCTCTTTGCGCATGCAGCCTGTCTCCAGTTCACACAAAAGACTCTTTCAGAAACTGGTTACCTGGATTTGAACTTTTCAACGAGGCTTTTTTTTTTTCTTTAAGCTCTGCAGCTCAAATACCAGATCCTGCTGTTGCTAAGATTAAGGATTTTCTCCCTCAGCTCAGTTTCCATTGACTAGGAAAGACCAGGAGATGGATTACTGTTCTCTTGCCAAAAGCAGAGAGGGTGCTTGAGCTTCTGGGGCTAACACTGGGATCCGACATTATTCAGGCCTGTGCTAATAGTCCTTAGTTACTCCTCAAGCTCTCACAAAAGTCACACACATTTGTGTTGGTAACTAAGGCCTACGGAAACCAATCAGCCCTAAGTGCACACAGGAGAACCATGGAGTCGGAGTAAAAGGTAATTTAACATGAATATTTATATACTGTACATACTGCGTGCCATGATTCACGCAGCTTATTTTCAGTTTATGTGTTTGCTTCCCATTTGCCGTCTTTATTTATTACAAAGTTAAAGCCGTTAGCGAAATAACACATCAGAGTGGGTTTTCTCCCCCGCCCTGCCCCATCTTTAAAAAATTTTCCTGCTTTCTTTTTTTTTTAAAGATTTTATTTATTTATTCATTTGAGAGAGAGAATGAGAGAGAGAGAGCAGGAGAGGGGGGGAGGGTCAGAGGGAGAAGCAGACTCCCTGCCGAGCAGGGAGCCCGATGCGGGACTCGATCCCGGGACTCCAGGATCATGACCTGAGCCGAAAGCAGTCGCTTAACCGATTGAGCCACCCAGGTGCCCATAAAATTTTCCTGCTTTCTAATGTATTTCTGGGAAAGTCTGCCAGTATAGCAACGAGACTGGTCACTGCTGCCAAACCCCAGAGATTCACGGAGTGCTGTACTGAGTGGAGTGTTTGCCAGGCCCGTACCACTGAGTGCTGCGCTGGCCACCACATGAGCCCTGTGGCTGCTGAGCTGGGGAGCTCCCATCCATCACCATTAGTGACAAGAATCCCCCGCTGCTCTGACTCTCAAGGTGGGGATGCAGGTGCCAAGACTGCTAGAGTGTTCGCTGGGTGCATGGGATCTGGAGCTAGAGAAGCTTGGGTTTAGGGCTCAGCACTTCCCCTTACTAGCTCTGGGATGCCTAGCAAATGACTTTCTACATCCTTTCGATGAACATTCTCAGTCTCCATTTCATCTTCTACAAGATGAGCCTAATACACTCAGCTTGACACATGACAAGCTCGAAATATACATGTGCTCCTAACAGTAACCTGGAGGTGACGAGGAAAAACACAGCCTAGGGAGGTTTAAGTCCCTTCCCTAATGTACACACCTACTGCATTTTGGACCTAGTTGTCTGATCCGTTTGCTTCATTCCAAAGCTTCCAATCTGTTCGTAATGAAACCCACCTCAATATCTCTTGCTGTTTTCTACCAGAAATATGTATTTGAGATCTGGCAAATTTGAGCTTTTGGGGGCCTTGACCTGGATACAAATGGTAAGAATAGGTTTAAAAAAAAAAAAAAAAGGCGCAGGTTGTCCTCGTACCAGTGCCAGATGAAACGTGCTTTTTAGAAATGTCATCCTAATATTTTGATTTGCGCCTGAGTTCCGTTTCTATGGGAGCTGCAATTCCCAGCACTCCTAAACTTCGCTGCTGCTGCCATGGTCTTGATGACTGGTATACAGAGAGATGCATCTCTCAATCCCAGGGGAAGAGCTTGTTCAGCTCTGGATGTCATTTTCCAAGAGAAGCAGAGACATGTTGGGCATGCCCCGAGGAGGGCCAGCAGGATGGTGAGGGCTGTAAGAACATGCTAGGAGCAACGCTTGCTCCATCTCAGAGGAAGAGGCCTGATGTGTGGCAAAGAGATTAATCTTTGCCTTTGAGGCTTCAGACGGAAGGTCTCACACAACAGGTGCAAGGCACGAGGAAATAGTTTTGGGTTCAATTGGAAAGAGAGAGTTTTGAGCCTGCAGTTAAACAATAGAAGGAGCTCTGCTGAAAGGGAGGCATTTTCATCTCTATGGTGTGCCTGATGGACTGAGGAGCAATTTTTAACCATGTTGTTCCAAGGGTTTGTACATAGACGAGAAGAGAACCAAGGTGCCCTCCAACTCATAGATTCCATCCTCATGATGCTGGGTGCTTACAGATGTGCAAAAGGCTTTCCTACACCTGTTTTCTTTCACTCATTCACGTGCAGTTAGTCAGTAGACCAGTGAATGGCTTTCGTGCTCCCACTATCTGGCCCTAGGTATCAAGTACGTAACAGTTAACAAATGCTGTCAAGTACCTTATAGTCTTGCGGGAGAAATGGACAAGAAGACAGACATTTGTAACAGAACCTGGTAAGGGCTGGAAGAAGAAGCATAGAGAACACCAAAAAAGAATATCTACCCCTGTCTGGGGAGGAGAGAAGGCTTCCTGGAGGAAGGGACATCTAGGATGGGACCCAGTTAGACTCAGCCAGGGGAATAATGGAGGAGCATAGTAGGCAAGGCATTAGCCTGAACCAGAGCCTGGAAATGTAAAAGAAGAAGGCAGGATGGGGAGCTGTAAGCAGTTCTGTTGGGCTGGAACAGAGTCTGTGAAGATGAAAACAGGGACACAAAGAGATGAGACTAGAAAAGGAAGTTGTGGGAGATGGTGAAAATGGACACATCCTCTTTTCTTCTTAGCAACAGGGGACATCTATTTTCCCATTTCATCCCTTGAATCTGAATCACCTATGGGACTTGCTTCAGCCAATGAGAAATTAGTAAATATAAGAGGAAGAACAAAAAGAGGCTTGAAAAATGCTTGCACAGGAAAGTTTCTTGCTGCTCTTGGAGACTGACACTGACAATTTTTTAAGTCCATGATAACCTGCTGGAAGGTGAGAGACACTTGCCCCCAGTGTCTTCTTGGTCATCCCTGGCCTGGAGTCAACTATCTTCAGAAGCAGAGCTACCTAGCTGACCTGCTGTTAACCACAGATGCATGAGTGAGCCCAGCAAAGCTCATCAGAAGAACTGCCCAGCTGAGCCCAGCCCAAATTGCTGACTCAGAAAATCATGAGCTAAGTAAATGGCTATTATTTTATTCAACTAAATTTTGAGTGTTTTTTTTTTTTTTCTTCTTCAGTAAAAGCTAATTGATATGGCAGTCTTAGAGATTTATAAATCATGTTAAGGAATTTGGACTTGAATCTGAGAGCGCCACGGAGACTTCAAAGGGTTGAAGCTATGGAAATGTTAGTATCAGATTTGTGTTTCGGAAAAATCACTGTTGGATCCAGCCAATGAGATCATGTGTGGTTAAGTATCTGCAAATTGTAAAGCAGTATACAAATACAGTTGATGAGTAAAAATAGTACATACCAATGGCCTAGAGACACATGACACACAATATCAAGGCAAGCCCTTCAAATCAAACTCCCTGAAAATATCCAGCAATGGCACATCTGGCTATAAACAAATTACCTCCCAAGTACCTTGCTGCTGATAACCAGCTCTGAGCCTAGAAGGAGAGCTGGCCAAAGCAAGGTGGCCTGGGGGAGGGGCAGAGTATGCCAAGAACATGGAAGATTCACTTTTCTCAAAGATGACTTAGATCAACAGTTGTTCAGGCTAATTTGGTCCCTGTAACAATTACCTAGGTCCTGGGGCCTCAAGCAAGCCTTTTAGAAGATTATCATAAGGGCATGATCAAAGAATTACACAAGGATGAGTTTGCTTTTCGCAACATTATTTATACTGTGAAAAAGTTAACACAAATGTCCAACAAGAGGGAAATAATGGTGTAAATTATACAACTATATAATAGTGGTTGAAAACTATGTAAATATTAAAATACTTTTAAAGATTGTGGCACAGAAAATGTTCACAATATAAAACATATGCATATTAAGTAGGTAACAGTTTCCTACTAGCAGCTTTCTGCCCTTTTACTTTTAATAATAAACTACTGATTTTTAGCTGAAAACATGGCCCAGCTAGAAATCTCATTTCTCAGCCTTCCTGGCTTCTGAATGTGACCAGATAGCTGAGTTGTGGACAATGGAATGTGACCAGGAGGGATGTGTGCCACTTCCAGATTGTTCCCTAAGTATTTATGGATGGGTGTTCCCGTTCCCTGTGCTTTTCTGTAAGGTTGAGTTGCAGATGTCATGATGGGAGCTCAGAGATATATGTTGGACCCAGCACCTGTCTAGGGAGTAGGTGTCTCCTGTGTTGATGAAAGTCCTGCCCGGTGTGAATGCTTCACCAAAGCTCAGGTGACCCATGAGCTGCTGCATGTTTGAGGGACACTCATTTGAAGGTCAATGATCAGGTGCTCAGGTGGGCAACTTGAGAAAGTCACACACTCAGCAGCAGAGTCCCACAGAGCCAAATATTCTCGTTCTAAGTCTGGCACCTTATCTCTTAGATTAACTGTGATATTGTGGGGACTGCAAGTGACGTGAAGAGACAAAGGAAGGACTGTCATAGGAGTGCAGGTGGGTATATATAAAGTGTGAATGAACTTGGGCTATTCATTTTGGGTCATTTCTCCTTTGATCTCTTTTTGTTGACTCTCGGTTCTGCTCCCTTTCTGTCATGGGTTGAAGGCTTCCCCCCACCAAATTCTTATATTGAAATCCTAATGCACAATGCCTCAAAATGAGACCTTACATGCAGAAGAATCTTTGCAGATGTAATCAAGTTAAGATGAGGTCACTAGGGAAGTAAGTCAATCAGAGAAACAAAATTATCATATGGTTTCACTCATATGTGGAACATAAGGAATAGTGCAGAGGATAATAGGGGTGGGGGGGGAACTGAATGGGAAGAAATCAGAGAGGGAGACAAACCATATGAGACTCTTGACTCCGGGGAAACAAACTGAGGTTGTGGAAAGGGAGGTGGGTGGGGGGATGGGGTAACTGGGTGATGGGCATTAAAGAGGGCACGTGATATAATGAGCACTGGGTGATATACTCAACTAATGAATCATTGAACATTATATCAGAAACTAATGATGTACTACACCTTGGCTAATTGAATTTAAATTAAACAAAGATGAGGTCACTAGGGTGGTCTCAAATCTAACACGACTGGTGTCCTTATAAGATGACACATGGACACACACAGGGAAGCTGGCCATGTGACAGTGAAGGTTGAAGTGTTAATAACTGCAAGCCAAGAGTGCCTGCAAACCACAAGAAGCTAGGGAGAGTCAAGGAAGGATCCCCGACACAAGCCTTCAGAGACAGCATGGCCCTGGTGACACCTTGATTTTGGACTCTGAAGCTCCAGAACTATGAGATAATGAATTTTTCTTTTAAGCCACCCTGCTCATGCTACTCAGCAAGGCAGCCCTAGGAAACGAATACACTCTTTCTGGGCCACCTAATTCCCTGCAGAAATGGCCAAAGCAGGCAGAGCAGTCCAGGCAGCTGGGCACCCATAGGGTTCTGACCCCTTCCTTACCCAGGGCCCTGGGAGTGACTGGCTGGCCAGGCTGGGGCCTTGACTTAGAGGATTTCCCTCAGCATTAAAGCCAGAATGGATCAGGCATGAACAATTGCAAGATTTATTACTTAACCCTGATTCCTACCAGGGTTTTGGGGGGAAAGAAACAGATGAGTGGTCTATGGAAGACCTTCCAAGCCCAAGCTCTTGTCATAGTCTCTGTGTTCCCATTCTTTTTCTGGGACAAAACTACTCCCATTTGTACTCATCTCCTGAGAAGATGGAGCAAACTGGACAAATGGGAACACCCTCACCAATAATATCACAAGTTACTTCATTTGCATGCACTTTTCTCATTTAAATATCATTACCATAAGGCGGAGGTCCTATTGCCAGGGTGACGAGTAACAGAAAATGAGCAGGGTAGGTTTGCCAGAGACTCTCCACTTTGACCCATTCCTGCTGTGTTCTCAGCTACCCTCCCAACTGCCATTAAAGGAATACAAATCATTCCATAGTTCTGCCTTTTTCTCATCTTGTTTCACTTTTCCCTTTGCTTAAGATTCTACTCCTTACCCTACTGGATTTGCGAATTTAGCTCTTTCATTTCTTCCAGCTGAACTTGATGACCCTTCTATTTGATGCCGTCTCCTCCGATCAACCCCCCACTTTACTGTTTCCCTTTCTGTGTTTCTGGTGCCTGGCATTCGATCATATGACCTGTCCGGAGTGTGAATTCCAGCTTGTAAATTAGCTCCCTGACCCTGCGATAAATTCTTGAATAATTCCAGGCAGCAGGTTGCCGATCTGTAGTAAGAGATGTACTTTAAGAGAATTAAATAAGGTAACATATATGAAGGCCAATGCATCTAGCCTTTGTATTAGTTATCTAATGCTGTGTAACTTAGGAGCTTCGAGCAGCAAGACTCATTTATTATCCCTCACCCCGCCTGGGGGTTTGAGGTTTCTCATGAGGGTGTAATTAGGTGTTAGCTGAACCTGCGGTCATTTAAAGACTTGGCTGTAGCTGGAGAACCCAGGTGGAGGGTAGTCTTTTCATGTGATCCACTCACAGTGGTGCTGGCTGTTGATGGGAAGCCTCAAGTGACTCTCCAGAGGGCTCTGGAAACCCCTCGTGGCATGATGGCTGTCTTCCCCCCAGAACAAAGCGAGGGAGAGGGAGAGAGGCACAGGGGTGCATGTTTTTTATGACCTAACATCTGAAGTCACGTACCATCACCTACACCACATCTGTTTGTTGAAAACGAGTCATGAAGTTCTGCTCACATTCAAGACAGAGAGATTTAAACTCCATTATTGGAATGGAAGAGTGTCCAGGCCACGGGCAGAGTCAGGTGTGTCCACCGGGCCTGCAGAAGCTCCCCCTGGTCCCTGGGTGTCTTCAGTGAGTCTACGGCCATACCACCCTGAAGGCGCCCGATCTCGTCTGATCTCGGAAGCTAAGCGGGGTCGGGCCTGGTTAGTACTTGGATGGGAGTGGGACAGTCCGGACGCAGCCCTGGTCTGGGCAGCTGAGGGTGGCCCAGGCGGGCTCCGCGGGATCCTCTGCTGGGCCGGGCGCGGTCTGTCTCTGGCCCATCAGCCTTCAGAGCATGCTGCTGCTGGAGAAAACTCTTCACCGGCCCCGTGTTGGGCCTCTCAGCCCCCACCGGCTCCCGGGCCAAGCAACACAGCACCACGGCAGGCTAAGCGCCTCTTTTAAGGCAACGGACAACGTGTGTGGATTGTGTGCTGGTCTGAAACCTTGGGAGATCCCCAGGTAAAATCGCCCGGCACAGGGAAGGCAGGGCGAAGAAAGAGGCAGGCCACTCCAGATAGGTCGATTGGCAGGTTTAATAGGTAAGGGAGCTGACCCAGGAGGCTTGTTGTGGGCCCCGCAAGACCAGTAGACCTCTGCACGGGCCAGCCAGAATCTTAGCAGTTATAATGGGGTTAGGCCTCGGACCAGCCGGCACCTCCCACCCTCGGGCTGCACCCTTGAGCCGCTCCTACTGTGTTAGTGCTGGGCTGAATGTACCTTCCCAGGCCGGCGGAGGGGGTGGGGAGCCTCCTTTTGCTCCAGGGCCAACCGGAAGTCCTGTCCTCCCCGTGACCACCTCCTCCGACAGCGTGCTCGGGAAGCAGGCGGCCGGCAGAATCGGCTTCATCTCCACAGGGCTTTCGCCCTGACCTCCGGACTCTGGCTCCAGGCTGCTCCCTTGTGGACACAGCCAACCCCTGGCACCAAGTGCAGTCTTTTGGCAGAATCTGCACTCAGGCCCTCCAGGATCTGCCAGACCATGCAGCTGGATAAACGACTCCCCCGCCACCCCAGCCCTGCCCCCACGCTGGGAGAACCTTCCTGCCCAGAAGGATCAGCTGGCTTTTCCCAAGCATGGATCTGAACTTGGGGACAGAAAGCACCTGGAAACAGTCCCTGCAGAAGGCGTGTTCCGCCGGGATCACCACAACGGGTAGGTCTTGCTTGTACTTGACACATTCTGCTCCTAGCCAAGTCTCAGGGGAGCAGCCCCCTGGCTGCCGCCTCCCTGCAGTCCTCAGCCCCAATCCTACACACACATTCTATATGTATCTGTGTTTGTGGCAAAAAGGAAAAAAAAAAAGTTATTTCTAGAATTTACCGCATCTTGCTCTGGTACCCCCTTACCTGCGGAGGGGGTGGTATGAAGGACTGAATGCTTGTCTCCCCAAAATTGATGTGTTCATATCTGAACCCTCAGTGTGTGGGTCTGAGGAGATGGGGCCTTTGGGAGGAGATGAGGTCAAGAGGCTGGAACCATCCGGAATGGATTAGTGCCCTTATGAAAGAGACCCTAGAGAGCCCTCTCGCCCCGTCTGACATGTGAGGTCCCAACCAGACGATGCTGTGAACCAGTAAGTGGTCCTCACCAGACACTGAATCTGTCGGAGCCTCCATCTTGGACCCCCCAGCCTCCAGAACCCTGAGAAATCCGTTGCTGTTGTTTATGGGCCCCCGGTCTGTGGGTTCTGTTACTGTAGCAGCCCCCGCAGAGGAAGACAAGTGGCCTAGAGTAGCCGAATTAACCTTTGGTGACTGAAAAGATCAATCTCTCTCTTTTTGAAATAGTTTCTTCAGCCTCCTTAAGGTAAATAAGCCACTGATTAAAAGCTCAAACTCCCGCAGGCCTGATGTTTTCCTCTTGGGACACCCCTCCTTTCCTCTCTCCTTGAGGACCCCACACCCACTCACTGTCCCTGGCCCTGTTTTCTGCACACAGCTCTCTTCCCGGCCCCCACCCCCCACGTTAGTCTTGCTTTGGCCCCGTCTTGCTTCTTTGACTTTTGAATCAAAGTCCTCCGTCTTCGTCAAGGTTAACTCAAAATACAACTTTTTGCTGAAAATATTGCGATGTGTTGTATTTAGATTTCCAGGCTAGTTGCCAAAGGCTCATTCCTCCAATAATGTATGTAATATCTGACAATGGGCGTTTTTAGAAAAGTAATAATGTTACCAAATGAATAAATAAAACACAAGAATATATTCTTTCATTTATTAATTCTATGTCTTAAATTATCATAGAGGAAAATTGACTGTTTTGGGGTACGTAGTTTTTCGAACTTGAACACACGTATGATTTATGGAGCCACCTCCATGGTCAGGTTACCAAACGGTTATGGTGCCCCCCAAACTACCTCGTGATGGCAGCCCCCACCCCTACTCCTGGCAAACCACCCATCACTCCATTACTAGCATTTTGTCACTTCAAGAATATTGTGTAAATGGAATCTTTTGAGATCAGTCTTTTCTATGATCCTGTTGGGGTTCATCCACATTGTTGAATCTATCAATGGTTTGTTCCTTTTTAATGTTGTGTAGTAGTCCATTCTGTGAGCATGCAACAGTCTGCGCATCCGCCTGACCACTGAAGGGCATTCGGGCTGTATCCAGTTTTTGGCAACTGGAAATAGGGCTGCTGTAAAAACGTTCAGGTGTAGGGTTTTTGCAGGAATACGAGTTTTCATTTTTCAAGGAGAAATGCCTAGGAGTGGAATTGCTGTTGAC